CTAGCGGGGGGAGGGATCAAGCGCCAAAGCAGGGTGTGAAGACTGCAATTCGCACACAATAGCCGAGGCCTTAGGGTCCGTCTCTGTTCGCGGGAGCGCCTTGTCCCGCTATCGCAAGTATTTCCACGAAGTTCTTTATCGTAGATATTATTTTTGTATTTGTATGTATGTTTAGTTCTCACTCTCGATGAAAAATAGAATGTTGATGTTTCTCCCTCCAGTAATACTCCTTAATGTTGTCACCTACATGCATCTACGGGACTGCAGTTATTCAGCGACCACTACTGCAATTTACTACAATGAATTGCTGTTTTCTGTTCTGTTCTAGTCCTCACAAAGATGAAGTTCGGTCATTAATCATCTGCAGTGGGTGGCCAGCCTTCAGAGAGTTCCCATGCAGCTCATGAAGATGACATGCAAAATTTAGGGTACGCCTTATACAGTTTATCTTTTTTATTGTAGTACATCTGCAGATAGCCTGGCATCTTTATATAAAATTCATGAAGGGTGACATCAACGTTAATTATGTATGGAGTTTTCGCTGTTATTGCATTAAGGCGAAAATAATTTCCCATTGTGTGGTTAACCACCTATTTTTCTTTTTGATATGGCAACACTAACTTCCTCTTTATTCCCACGATTAAATCCCATCTTGAAAGAGATTCGTTTTAAAGAAAGAATGGAGAAAAAAAACTACAGTTCACGTGGCCGCCGGACTGGTCATTGCAGGTTAAGCAGCACCAACGCACGCACATCCACTCAAAGAGATGCCACCTAAATGAAACTAAATAATTCCAAGAAGAGAGAGAAAAAAAGAAAGAAAAAGTGTGTACCCAGTGACATCGAACTCACCTGCTACAAAAGACTTAAAAAAAAACAAAAAACTTACCGAGGATATCCTGCTGCGGGAGCCACGTGAAGCTCCGGACGTTGGGCGGGAATTCGAAGCCGTCGTCGCTGAACTTGACCAGGACGCGGTGGGGGAGGCGCGCGAAGGCCTTGAAGAGAGCCTCGCGATACTTCTGCGGAATCCTGGACGCATTCTGGAAGGATCCCAGGCTGAAGTACACGACACCCGCCTCGCCAGCGCCATCGAGCCACTCAGCGACTTCCTGTGCAAGAGGAGAGAAGTTCCGGATGAGGGAAAGGTGTAGCTTAGGAGAGGAACTAGTGTATGCGTACTGTCCACCACGCACACAAAGGCATACACATACACACACACACATATATATTCGCATATATACACGCACATATCCACTCATACACATGTACATATTCAGACTTGCACACCATATATATATTCGCATATACACAAAGGTACGTATTCACACATACATATTCACACCTACATAATCATGTTTACATACATACAGTACGCGTAAATACAAGCAAACACTAATAGACATAAATACGCATATATAATAATGACACTCAAAATAAATCAATATGATACATTAATTTAGGGAAAGTTAATGTGGCATACTTGTATCTTATGTTAGACGTATCATGTAAGCAAGGATTTTTGTAAGAAAGATATGTATATCTTTAGCAGGATTATGCCAATTAACTGATCCAAGACAAAGTATTCTTTTATTCACTAATGTTTCCGCAAACTTTTTTCGCCCACGCATTGTGCGCACCTGTTAACTGTGTGTCACACAGATTACAGATATCAAACAGAATGAAACGTCAAATAAAAAGCTGTTTTTATCAGTTCAGTATTCCTACAAATTAAATGCTTTCAGGGTGTTATCCTACCCGTCCCTTATACATAAAATAAATAACATCAAAAACTCTAAAAAGTCTGCCAGAATATGGTATCAAACACACGAATCGTAATGAAAAATATTAACTCTTCAGCCGATATGCAGCAATTCAGGAATCTCGCAACTAATGCAAGTAATACATCTGAAGCATTACAGCAAGACTTAAAAAGGGAAAGGGAATATATATATAATGCTGAAAAAGATCGAATTCCTAAACTTTCGTGTTATCTAGCACTTACTCTTAGATACGAAGATCTTCAGACTAGAAGTAAAAATTCGGTCAGAGTTTCAATTTATGTAGCCCTCTTGGACCTTTTTACCAATGTCTTCTGTGAAAAACTCTAGTTCTAGTCTGAGGAACTTAAAAATCACTATTTTCCTACATGTGGCTCTGTAGTTCTAAACTGGATTCACTGTTGGAAAAGAAGTAGAAAAGAAAGAAGTATATATATATATATGTGTGTGTGTATGTGTGTGTGTGTGTGTGTGTGTGTGTGTGTGTGTGTGTGTGTGTGTGTGTGTGTGTGTGTGTGTGTGTGTGTGTGTGTGTGTGTGCGTGCATGTGTGTGCATGTGTGCACAGCGAGAGAGAGAGAGAGAGAGAGAGAGAGAGAGAGAGAGAGAGAGAGAGAGAGAGAGAGAGAGAGAGAGAGAGAGAGAGAGAGAGAGAGAGAGCGAAGAGAAAGAGAAAGTGATAGAGAAATAGATAGATATAGATAGATAGATATAGATAGA